TCAGGAATCTCACATCCAGGATGTATGGGAGGAGGTGATCTGATTCCTGGACAAAGGCTGTGAGCTCCTTTGTCCCAGGCAAGATTTCAAGACCATGCTCCCACTTCCTGTTTGCTGAGCTGAGTAATGGGTCTGCCCATGTGCATCATGGTCTTTCTGAGATAACTTGGACCTTGGTCTAATTGATTCCCCTTGGATATTGTATATTTCCCAGAGGAAACACATAAAGGGGAAAATGGAACATGATCATGTGGCAGTGTAGCAGACACATTAAGAAGCCGTTAGGTCTGAGAATGCTGGGTCCATGAACTATGAACCAAAGGCTGAGGGGCCCCCAACTGGATCAGGCCCTCTGAATAGGTGAGACAGTCGATTGGCTTGATCTGTTCGGGAGGCATCTAGGCAGTGGTACCAGGTCCTGGGCTCGTTGCATGAGTTAGCTGTTTGAAACCTGGGACTTATGCAGAGACGCTTGGCTCAATCTGGGAGGAGGGGACTGGACCTGCCTGGACTGAGTCTATCAGGTCGATTCCAGTCCTCGGGGGAGACCTTGATCTGGAGGAGGTGGGAATGGGGGGTGGGCTGGGGGAAAAGGGAGGGGGGCAGGAAGGGAGAGAACAAGGGAATCTGTGGCTATTATGTAGAACTGAATAGTATTGTAAAATAAAAAAAAAATAAAAAATAAAAAAGAATGCTGGGTCCATAATTGCCAGGTCTGAAAAAAGGCGGGTGGAATCAGGCTACTAGATAATGTCCTGATTCAGGCAAATTCTTTTCCACTAATTTATTGTATGTCCTGATGGCACCCCTAGTGATCACTAGAGCAACTGCAGTTCATGTCTGGGAAGCTGTCAGATCAGCACAGCCTGTAGCCATTTCCTTACCGGAGAAAATCCCCTGAGCTGGACCCCAGAGGACACTTGTCAGGAGCTCTCTCCCTGTCCTTGGTTGCCCTGACCTTCCTGTGAAGTCTCATAAGCCCATCAGAACATAAAGTAATGGCCTGGGCTCCTGTCTGGCTAAGCTCTCCCTCCATGTTCAGTCTCTGGAGAAGATGTCCAGGGGACCTAGACTAAGCATATCTCTCATGACAGTGCACTGGCTGGTTCCAAAGGTGCAGGACTTGGACTACTAAAAAGCATTGTTCCCTGCCATCAGGAGATCAAAATCCAACCTTTGTGAAATGTTTCTCAGACACACCATGTGTGTCCTGCACTGAATACTAAAACCCCAATGTGGGGATGCAGTGCAGAGGGGAGGAAAACCCAGGCCATTCTACTGTGTCTGTCCAATGGATTGAAGCCCACCCAGAACCCAGAATTCACAAAGAATCACTCACTGTGCACGCGAAGATAAGCGGTTATTGTTGACACAATATCTCCAAGCCTGTCTAAGAGCTCTATGGTATAAAGTCCTGTATCCTTCCTGGTGACGTTTCTGAGCAGCAGGGATCCATTGCGGTACACTGTCTCTCTGCCACTGTGTAGAGGCCCCGGCACACTTAAATCTTTGTTCAGTGCGTATGTCACAATTCCATGGTTCATACTTTTCACCCTTTTGGACCAGACTACAGCTGCAAGATTCTCTGGCAGATTGTGGACAAGGAAAAAGGCATTTTCTCCTTCGATGACTTCAGGTGGGACAGATTCAAGGGCAAATCGGGCAGTGGTGGAAAGGTGCCAGCACGATAAAAGGGAGGCTGGAAGGGAACAGAGAGAAATCATCGATATTTAGCAGATGTGATCATCATTCAGCTCAGATGTGGTGTAGCCGTGTGTCCACCCTCCTTAGCAGACACGAGCAACATGACTTCCATTCCCTCAGAGCCTCCGGCTGTGTCATTAACTCCCTCGGGAATCCTCTGCTCAGGTGTCTGTCTGGTTCCTCTCTCGGTGTTCCCGTACCACTCCTCACACTGAGTGTTTGGTGTGAGGAGCAATGCCTCTCTGAACTCCTCTGGCGAATCCTCACTTTCTTTTTTCTGTTTCCTTTGTAATTCCAGTCAACCTATGACTTCATCTTGCAGATACACTGACATCAGGTCCACAAGAGCCAGGGCATTGTGAGGACTGAGATTAGTGTGACCATTTCGGAAAGTTAAGTTCTTGGAAAAGATTTAGGCACAAATGGATAAAGGAAAAAGAGAAGGAAGAAAGGGAAGGAGGGAGGGAAGAAGGGAGGGGAGGAGGAAGTGTTCCCACAGGATTATCTACATAGTTCCCAGGTTTGGAGCTGATGGCAATAATTATATTCAGGTGTGGTTTAAATTATCTTAGATTTACTCATATAGTGTGTGTGTGTGTGTGTGTGTGTGTGTGTGTGTTTCTGAAGGCAGATTTCTCCATGTGCCCATGTGTGAGTGTATGTCAGTACACCTGTGTGGAGGGCAGAGAAGAGCCTGCAGGTGTCTGTTCTCTCCATCTACCATGTGGGAGCTGAGGATTAAATCAGAATGTCAAGTCTCCACACACTGAGCCATCCCACTGGCCCACCCATTTGATGTCTATTTGGAGTCACCCTGTCCTGGTTGTGGACATCAGGCTTCAGAACATGGCAGCCAATGGGATTGACTGTGAATATATTGAGTTTGGGGGCATTTCTCTTCCCCTCATCATGTCCTATCCACTGAGAGCTTCACACAGCTCAGCTTCTGTCCCTCAATACACTTTCTGCCCCATGACTGCAAAGAGAAACCTCAAATTCCCTCTTAGGGGCCTGTCCTCTTTAGGAGACTCCGGCTCTTCTCTGAGTTCACCTCCATCCCACAGTCAGAGAGTGGGCACACTTACCTGTGAGCAGGAGCCCACGCCAGGGGGTGCAGCCCTTGCAGAGAAGCACAGAACACACCTCCATCTCTCTTCTCACTGTGTTGTCCTCCCTTTAAGGAGAAGAATTTCAGCTCCAGCAAGGCGCTCAGTCTCTGCTCTTCTACTTTCCTCTGAACTAAGTTTCCTCTCTGGCAGAAGCACTTCCCAGAACCCAATAGGCTGGTGGTGGTGGGATCTGTGTCCAAGGCACTGCTCAATTGCTTCCACTCTCAGTGCTGTCCCGCATCCCTCTCAACTTCCCTTTATGTTTCTCCTCCAATAAACATATTGAGCAACAGTGCTGATAAACATCCCCTTGCCCTCAGAGAACAATGGCTCAACCCAGGGCTGACACCTGCTGTGTCTTGCCTTGAGTCTGTC